CAAAGATTCCAAAGGTTCGATGAAGTCTACTTGACATCGATGCTCAAGTGACCAACTTTTGACCAGAGAGTGGACTCCAGCCAAAGACCCAGCTTCCCGAGGAAAAGCCTCAAGCTTTGTTCAGACCCTTGCATTTTTGAAAGTTCTTGGAGCTGAAACTGAAAAGGTGGTTCCTTCATGTTCCTTCTGTATGTCGCGAACCGAACCATTCGCGCCCGAAGTTCGCTCTGCCTGGGGTGCGTTATCTCCAACCAGACCGGAACGCCTGAGGCAGCACGGGCCAACACATTTCGAGCTGTGGCGCCAGCTGGCTCTGTTCGTCTGTGCTGGTGTTGCTATTGGCGATTGCCTGCGGCTGTAGCTATTGCTGCTGCTTCCGCGCGTTGCCCATGCTCCCTTCCCCACGCTCTGATCTCATTGGATCATGTTGGCTGGATCCGGCAACGGTTTGTGGGGACGAGCAAGAAGCTACTAGGGGCTCCTGGCCTTACTACTAGGAGGAAGGACGCTACTAGGGGCTCCTGGCATCGCTACTAAGAGCATTCTTTCCACTAGTAGCATAAATGCCGGGGGTCAAGTGGCGCTGGGAGACCGAACTTTGGCGTAGCCCGGCGATTCCGATGTGATTTCCCATCGATCAAAAGGGTAGGACAAATATATGTATATATAATATATTTATATATATATATATGTATAATATAAAGAAATATAAGTATAATATAGTATAATGCTACAGTAATAATATAACACCAGGGGCTACTACGTCTGTCTTCAGGCGACTTGTGATACTTCACGTCAAGTTTCACTATTCACCGGGTCAAAGGCTCGAAAGCCCTGTTTGGATGCTGCTTCATATGGAATGACGAAAAAGTCTTCCAAAAATTAGGCCAGAAAGAGTCCGCCAGACAGCGGCAAAAGGGGGCAATCAAGCCTGTACTAAGGAATTCCCTCAGCAAAGTGTACCGGGAAACTTCAGCGTGCAATCCGGGGAGATCCTCTTATAAAGGTCCCCCAACAAGAAGAAACCATGTCCATTCACATCCGCACAGTGTTTTAGAAAACATCGGTGCTCTTTGCGATCGTCCATTCCATCTCAACCCTCGTTCCGCCTCACAACTTCGAGAAGGGCCCAGGACCAGGGGAACCTCAGGGAAGGACACACGGCGTCAGGCGACATCACCGGTGTCGTCACTCGACATCGCCCTTCGGTTGGACTTGGTGGAAAGCCCCGCGATGGAAGGGAAGTCTTCGTCATCTGAAGGCCGAAGGATTCGGAACTGCCGGGACTGTACCATGTGACTTTGGGAATACAAGTGTATGGAAGTGTGAAAACCAACAACTTGTTGGGACTTATATCTTGTGAAATGTTGGGACTTATATCTGTGTTGGGCTCGAAGGCTTCCTCCTGTGTGACGTTGTGACGTCCCATCCATCAACACTTCCTGAAATGTCGCAACACATTGACCTTTAACCGAAAGGGCATGAACCTTGGAACCCGCAGGTTCTGATCATCCGTGGGACGAAACACCTCTGAAACCCGACTCCTCTGAAACCTCTGAAGTCCATCATATCCATCGGAACAGACCCGACCCGGGTATCCCGTCGCTTCCTGAACTCCTTGAGCACGGTGTCAATGACCGTGGTGCCTGGGAAGACCTGCGCGGTGGTACCGTGATGGAAACCGGTGTGCGGACGGGATCACTTGTCACTTGTCACGGTGTAACCTTCATGGACCTGACCAGGGTGAAGCAGCTGAATTCCCGTCGGATCCTTCAATGCAGCTCTGATTCACACGATGGCAAACAACATATGCGACAGTGTGAGGGTCCGACGGTCCTGAGACAAATGTTAAAAACTCTTCTGGGCGTGTCGATTCCTTTGAAGCAATCATGCTTCCTCTAAAAGCAAAAGGATCCTACCAGTCATGCTTGGTAGCTAGCTCACTCTCGGGGGCATGCTGACCAATAGCAGTAGCCAAGCAGTGAAGCAATTCTTTGTGTGTCAAGACGTCGCATGTCCAAATTCCGGGTCCTCCACTTAACAGACTGGCTTTAACACTACTGGGGAACCTCTGTAGTGTTGGTCTCATGACCTTTGCACACTACGCTCTTTTTTGGTCTCCGCGCACCGAGTGGCTCGGACTCGGGTGACCTCTTTGGGCCAGAACTACGAGTCTCGGTACTCTTCTCCGGCCAGATCAAACAGTGGCTTGGTCAACAGTGGCTGGGCCCAACGACCAACGACTCTAGAACTGAAGCTGCTGGACGGTGCGCCTTTCCAGGGTTGTGAAAGGAAAGTCTGCAGGAGACTTATCTTGAACTGGAAGGTTTGAGAAGCCATTGTCGCGCACCGGCTGAAAAGATGAAGCTCGGCTTCCGAAACGACGAAACAAATCGTGCGGGCAAACGGCTGCCTGCCTGGACTCCGTCCAATTCCAAAGCCCTAAGTCTTAACTTCCAATTCCAATCCCTGGCTTCGAATTGTACCAAAAGGAACATCAAGATCAACAGGTCATACATCTGCTGTCAGAGAAATGTCAGTGGCAGGCTCAGTAATTGAAAGCCCGGCTAAAAGGAAATATGTACACTCATCCATATGCATCCTTTTCCCTCGTCCAAATAGATAGGAGATCATCTAATTACAGGGGATTTCTCGCTGGTTATCGTATATCCTATATCCTCTATATATAGATATTTATACAGTGTGTATATATATATATATGGATATACAGTACAGTATATACAGTGTGTATATATATATATGTGTATATGTACAGACTGTCTTGATCCGTCTTGTATGTGTTTATTTTGTTGTTTCCCGTCCGGACCAAACAGGTCCTTCTTGACCAAGCCATGCTCTGGACCCTCGGCTGCCAGCCAAACGGGCTCAGCAGGAGATGACCGAGAGCAGCTTGAACTTGGGGCCGTCCTGGTTGTACGAGCATGGTGCCCCACGGTGCCCGAGTGCTCGGAGACTTCTCCGCTTGGTGGAAGAAGGACAAGCCATGGTGTTCGGGTGGAGGGAATGATCTGCCATCAAATAACGTGGTCGACTATATCGGGAACCCTAGGGCCCTAGATCAAAAGCAAGTTCTGGACATGAGAATTGGTGCTGAACAAATGAATTTGAGTTGTCACATGGGAAGACCCACAAAATTGCTGCACTTCACTTCTTTCTTTAGTCCAAGGATCTAACAGCCGCACCACCACCGTGGCTTCAGTGAAGTCATCCACAGGCTCCACGGCAGTAAATGCAGCACCTACCTGGAAAGAAACGTGATCAAACTGGAAGAAGCGCAACATGTGGATATATGTGTTTATCAACTGTGGGTTTCATGGGAATCTGTGCCACTATTGTTCACCTGTTCAAAATCGGCCAAACTGACACGGTTGAGACTGTGCCCTTGTTCTTTCGGCGATCTGTCATGAGAACTCAACCTCAACACTTCAGGTTCGTAGGTGTGTCAACTGGTCGGTGATGCGTGTGGTTTGCCTGTTGAAGTCATTTAGGTTTCATGTATATAGAATCGACAAACAGGTCTCCGCCGCTTACTACACTCCAATCACTCCCCAAAAACAAGAAGCAGAATTTGGGCTTCGTGTAAAGGAAAACAGTATTCCCAAGAGTTGTTTTCCACTTCCCTGCTTCCTTTCAGTGGTGTCCCAAACATTGTCCACAATCAGTACTCTTCCAAGGATTTGTTTTCCACAGGGAAATGGCTCGCAGGTGTTTCCCAGGTGGTCTGACTTTTAATGTCAAAACAGCTTTGGTTTGGCAAACCTCGAAAAGAAAACAAGTACCATTCAGGGCGACCAGTGAAGATCCGTTGAAGACCTGCCATTGAGGTCTTTTCCGATGTGTCATCCAGAGGTGCCACATCGGTCCTCCAGTGCTTTCAGTGCTTTCAGTACTTTCGTTGGCTCCAAGATGCGGTGATGGAAATCTTGTTGGGCCAATAACCCAAGAGTCTCCAAACCTGATGCTCACAAGCGCCACAGGTGAAAGGAGGTGCACACGACTCGTTGAGCCACAGGTGAAAGGAGACAACAAGAATCAGTGATCCCCTGGGCCCCCCTGGATCTTTGGATTGTTTCCTCTCATCTGTACATAACGTTTCTTCGTGCTGGCACGGATGTATGTCATCTCGAGTCATATTGTCACATGCCGGGACGACGGCAGTTTCCTTCACCGGTGCCCACCACACCGCTCCTCTTCCACACCAGCTCACTTCAGCACGATGCGCACATCTGGCTCACAAGTGCCAACCGTTCACAGGTGCTGACGGACACAAAAGAGCCAGAGGCACCTTACAGCCCTAGGCCCTATGGAGCTCGAAAATCCATCACCCGCTTGCCCGGCCCAGGTTCCGGTCCACCCCCACTCCTTTGTTTTCAGGAACGGTCCGACGACTTCCTTGTCCTTCCAACTGTTTCGACGTCCAGCGATGGGGAGATCCTGGTGCCGGGAATCGCTCACGTGAGCTCCGTCCGATGGAGATCGGCGCACGGAATCGGTGTGGTGGGACGGATCTCGGGTCTGAACCACCAGTCGCCTAGCTCGTTTGGAGAAAGACGTGTGGTCCAAAGGCTTTCAGGGCTGCAAGTTTGTGGCCCACAAGCCTGCGAGGACAGGAGACTGGGAACTCTTGAGAAAGTGATACGCTGCAATTTGAGGAAAAGTTATATAGATCAAAAATGGTCTTCGACCACAAGAGCAAAAAACACATAGCAGAGTTCGCCTTGCTCAAGAAGGTGGTTGTGGTTTAAAATGCCTTCTACTTGGAATATCTTGGAATGTTCTACCAATTCTATGTTTTGTTGGACAAGGTTGCGCTGAAGAATCCACTCCGGTGGAGAGTAACACCCCACCCGTGGTTGGTCACCCACAGCAAGGAATCAACACATTCTCTTGTGGGGATTGGCAAAGGATCATACCGTACCAACATTAAACTGAGCTCAGACACACAGAAAACTCCAAAAGTATCTGACCAACTTTCCTTCTCAGAAGCCACGTCGTCCACGACACATGGGGTACGCCACGCCACGCCGTGGGCGCGCAGCCCACCCGGGAAGTCCCGTCGAGGCTCGGATCTCGAGCTCCGCCGTGCCCAGCTGCGCGTAGGAGCGCCTTGGATCGGCGCAAGCTGCGAGAGATCGCCGATCGCGAGGTCCAAGCGAGGTCCGAGCGAAAACCCATCGAGCTCAATCCGGGATGGTCCAGGCTCTTGAAGTCTGATTCCAGATGTGTGTTTTCAAGTCTGTGAGACAAGGCCCCGTTTCTCCCCCCCACAGTCTTCAGCTATAGTAATTAATAGTTCTGGACGGTGCCAAATAGGCAAATTCATGCCTGACTCTTGAAAACTGTTTCTTGGTTCTATTTATAGGTCAAGTGGACCAGTCATCCTGTAGGTAAGTTTGGGTGCTTTCAAACACAAAGACCGCTTGACGGGTTTGTCGGGTCTTTGATGAGTTCCCCAGTGTGAAGACACCTGGTTGGTTCCCCACTGAATAATACAATCCCCTTTGCAGAATTCCTTTCGCACTGACCAGAAAGATGTTCCCCTCTCGGGGATGACTGCCCAAAACTACAAAGCCTCGCAATTCCAACAGAACCAAAGGTTTGAACGTGAACCCGATACTGCAAGTGCAGGAGTGTGCAGGACCTTGGTTCTCGAACGTAGCGATCGCCATAGGCAAAAAAAATGCCAATGACTCTTGTTCTTTTCCTCTTCCCCATTCTGACGGGAGTACGGCTCTCCTTATTTGGTTGGAGGCCATTGCTTTTAGGTTGGAGGCCATCGCTAGTAGAAACAACTAAAAGACAAGGAAGGAAGGTCTAATACAACTTGCTAGTATACGAGTACGCCCGAGGCCCAAACCGCACGCGGAGGACAGCCCTCCTTCCCGGAGGACGCCGAGCATCAAGTACTGCACCGCCAACTTCGGCTTCCGGCCTTGGCGCGTGAAGCACGGTGCCCGGTGACGGTGCGACTCCCAGGTTGGGACGCTGATACGAAGGACTTCTGGGGCCCATGGGGGAAAGAGACACCCCTAACTTGGAGCTCCTTTAAAGAACCTGTGAAACTGATTTCTGTATATAATTACCAGACGAAGATGAGTGAGCCCGTCTTTGGGTGCGGTCGGAAGCCTCATCGGAAGCCTCGTTGGAAGCCTCGTCGGCAACGGGATTCTTTGACACCGCGCATCAAGATCATCGAGCTCAAGATTCCACACGCACAGGGAAAAACTTCATGTTCTTTTAGACCCATCTGACAGCTGTTCTCATGATCAAAGTGAGCCCAGATTTTGCATGATTGACACTTGATACTTCAAAATTATGCCGGCATAGACCCCAGATAGCACTTCAAGAAAAGTTGGACACCATGGCAAGAGCGGGAGACAAGCTTGGGAGACATCCCACTCAAAGCCGGGAAAAGGATGGAAAAGGTAAACAAGACCTAAATCATCTTATAACAGCATCCGCGTCAAAGGCAGGCAAGAAGATGACAAGGCGGCAGCGGCAGCCAAGAGTGAAATCAGGAACAGAGACAAGCTTGGGAAACAAGCCGGCAGCGGCAGCCAAGAGCAAAGTCATGAAGGGAGACAAGCTTGAGAGACAAGGCGGCAGCGGCAGCCAACAGCGAAATCATGAATGGAGACAAGCTTGGGAGACAAGGCGGCAGCGGCAGCCAAGAGCGAAATCAGGAAGGGAGACAAGCTTGGGAGACAAGGCGGCAGCGGCAGCCAAAAGCGAAGTCATGAAGGGAGACAAGCTGGAGAAACAAGATGGCAGCGGCAGCCAA